GCCTTTTGAAGTTGTGAACAAAGATGGCAAGCCTTATGTACAAGTGAAGATTAAAGATGGTGAAGTTAAAAAGTTTAGCCCAGAAGAAATTAGCGCTATGATCTTGCAAAAAATGAAGGAAACAGCTGAGGCATATCTAGGGAAGTCGATTAAACACGCTGTCATCACCGTTCCAGGTATATTTAATTGCTACAACTGTGATATTAATTCCTCTTTGATCATGAAATAGTTGTCGTTCTTTTTTTGTTGGCTGATCGAGTAATTTTGTTTGAATGTAGCTTATTTTAATGATGCGCAAAGGCAAGCAACTAAGGATGCTGGCGCCATAGCAGGGTTGAATGTAGTAAGGATAATAAACGAGCCTACCGCAGCTGCAATAGCCTATGGATTGGACAAGAAAGGGAAAGAGCAGAACATATTGGTGTATGATCTTGGTGGTGGCACATTTGATGTTAGCATACTTAGCATTGACAATGGTGTTTTTGAGGTACTAGCAACCAATGGTAACACTCACTTAGGAGGAGAGGATTTTGATCACAGACTAATGGACTATTTCATCAAGTTGATTAAAAGAAAATATAGCAAGGATATTAGTAATGACAAGAAAGCTCTAGGAAAACTTAGAAAGGAATGTGAGAGAGCTAAGAGGGCCTTAAGTAACCAGCACCAAGTACGCATTGAAATCGAGTCTCTTTTTGATGGTATTGACTTCTCTGAGCCGTTAACAAGGGCGAGATTCGAGGAGTTGAACATGGATTTGTTCAAGAAGACAATGGGTCCAGTCAAGAAGGCATTAGAGGATGCAAATTTGAAGAAGACGGATATTGATGAACTCGTGCTCGTTGGTGGGAGTACTCGAATTCCAAAGGTGCAACAGCTCTTGAAGGATTTCTTTGATGGGAAAGAACCTAACAAGGGTGTTAATCCGGACGAAGCTGTAGCTTATGGAGCAGCAGTACAAGGAGCAATACTTGGTGGTGAAGGAGGGGAAGAAACCAAAGGTAACATGATCATGTTCTTCTCTGATTTAACAGAAGCAAATCTTTTTCTTTTCAATATTAGGATCATATCATATTTTGGTTTTGATATTCATTTTTTTAACAGATCTTTTGTTGCTTGATGTGACTCCATTAAGTCTGGGAATTGAGACAGTGGGTGGTGTTATGACAAAGTTGATTCCCAGAAACAGTAGGATTCCTGTCAAGAAAACTCAAGTTTTCACCACCTATCAAGACCAACAAACATCTGTATCAATTAAGGTAACTACAATTTCAGCAATTCTTTGATGTCAAACAGAATTGTAGGTTGCCATTGTTCTTAGGGCATAAGAATTAGTACATAATTTCATTTTCTTGTGGATATCTTTAGGTATATGAAGGTGAAAGAAGCTTGACAAAGGATTGTCGTGAACTTGGAAGCTTTGACTTGTCTGGTATACCTCCTGCTCCAAGGTAAGTTGAACAAAAATTAACTTAGAAGCATGAGAATTGAGAAGTAGCAAAAAGAAAAACTATCTATGTTATGATTATTGGAATTTATGATTCAAGTTAACTTTTCAAAATCTTTTGTAGGGGAGTGCCACAGATTGAGGTGAGCTTTGAGATTGATGAGAATGGAATTCTACAAGTGACAGCACAAGACAAAGCAGCTAAGAAGTCCAAATCCATAACCATCACTAGCGACAAGTCGCGTCTAAGCCAAGAAGAAATTGATAGAATGTTGAAGGAGGCAGAGGAGTTTGCAGAGGAAGATAGAAAGGTAAGGGAGAAGGTGGATTCTCGTAACAAGCTCGAAACATACGTTTACAACATGAAGAACACAATCAATGACAAGCTCGCGGAGAAGATAGATTCTGATGACAAAGAGAAGATTGAGAGCGCTCTTAAGGAAGCTATGGAGTGGATGGATGATAACCAAAACGCGGAGAAGGAAGACTATGATGAGAAAATGAAAGAGCTGGAAGATGTATGCAATCCTGTCATAAGGCAGGCCTATGAGAAGAGTGGTGGAAGTTCTGCAAATTCAGCAGCAGGTGATGAGGAGTCTTACGATGAATTGTAGATTGAAGAGCGAACACATTACTTATTTTGGATTACTAGATTGTAGAGTGAAACTTTCCCCCTCCTTTTTCCTTTTTTTCTTTTCTTTTAATTGTATGGTGGAACTTATAACTCATTTTTTGGTCATTTTATTTAACGTTATACACTAATTTCTTCAGCTGCGTTCTTTTCTTTTTGCTTGTTTGGATCCCACAACTGCTTAAGTATTCCTGTGAAACACCACTTCGAGTTAAATGAAAATCCACTTATTGTTTATATGCTTTCTCCAAGTGCAATCTGGAAAATTGTATGAATGTTAAGGAATAGCTCAAATGTTTTATATTAGGCTCTTAGAATTTATATTTTCTGCATAGTTTTGACGGACTAAAGCTACTATGATAAATTACTGGTCCAATGGAGACATCGATTAGTTCACGACTGATCTTAATCTTGGAACGGTTTCATCAATAATAGTTAGTGGCCAGAGGTTTTGATTCAGTTTAAATTAGCATCACACGAGCGACTCTCGTCGTGCGAAGTTCAAGTAGATACGATGCAAAAAGTTCGAGTGCCACTTTTCTTAATCAATCTGAGTCCCAATCCCAAGTCCAAGTTGAGCAATAGCCAAATATTCTATATCAACCAACTCCCGCCTCTCCTATCTAATTGCCTGAAGTTGAGTTAACCAAAATTAGGAGAAGTAAAATCCGACATTTCTGGTACACGCACAAAAGTCCTTCTAATGGACTTCAATAAAGTACGGGGATAACAACCATTACCTTAAAAAGGAAACTAAAATTGACACTTCCATAGGAAAGGTAAAAAGGAATAGACCCTTGACCAAGGTTTTGAATGAAATCAATTTATAAGAGGATGAAGCGATGCAAGGGACAAGTTGTAACATGACAGACCGAGGACGATGTCCGAGAAAGTATGTAAAACTAGCTAATTTGGGAACTTTTAGTTGGTTTAACAGAGGCCAAACTAAATTTCCATCAAGTGACACTTTTTCTTTTAGTTTTAATCAGCTCCATCAAGTAGAGCTGTGGAGAACGTAAGCTATTCCAAACAGCTGGACACTATTAAGATGCTGGAAGCAGAAATTTTGAAGTTGAAAATAAACTGAAATAAGCAGCAGCTGGGTTTTTGACAAAACCTTCAATTGGAAAAATATTGGTAAAAGTTTACAAAAAGTATATTCTTATAAGAAAATCACATTTTAACTTGAATAAATATACACGCCCAAACCAGAATTCTGATGTGTCTACCCCTTTATTATTTCACATCCTATTGGCTACCAGACTTTGTTCAGGATAGAAGGTACAGTATACCTGTTAATCGGGCCGGGCTGACCGTTTATAGCCCGGTCCAACCCGGTAGTATAGCGTGGGGGCGGGCTGGGACGAGTTGGGCAGGGAGCGGTTTAAAACGAATAATTTTTTGATATCGGTGCACCGAAACCCGTTAAGCCCGTTAACCCGTTATCGGGTTGTTAACGGGCTACAATCCGGTTCAGCCCGTTAACCCGTTAACGGGTTGTTAACGGGCTACAGCCCGGTTCAGCCCGTTTATTAACGTTTTTTTTTTTATGGACCAACTTAAACTCCTGATATTGACACTTGTATTTCTTATCTACACAAACATTTAGAAACATTATATAATTATTATGCTAACATTGTTGATGCTTCTTCTGTTGTAGATGCAAATATTCCTTGAAGCTCAGTTTCAACATCTAGGACCAGTGCTTTGGATGATAATGATGGTGTTGAAGATTATTTGATTTGGTCTACAATAAGGGAGCATCAAGCCATCAACAAACCAGTAGCAGGAATAACAATGAACTTCAATTCTACTTGCAAAAGTCAGCAGAGCCTCGCACAAAGGAATTTCTACCATTGGGTTGGTGGAGGAGCAACTCAAATCAATTTTCTGTTCTTTCGGCCATGGCTCGAGACGTGCTAAATGTGTCGATTTCAACAGTCGTATCAGAGAGCGCATTTAGCCAAGCAAGGCAGCAACTAGGAGATACCCGTCATTCATTGGGTAGCAACGCTTTGGAAATTCAAGTGTGCTTCAGAGATTGGATAAAATCAGAACGACGAAATCAAGGGCGTGACGAGGTAGATGAAGTGGAGGACCAAGAAATTGAAGATATAATGGTTTATGGTTCCGATTCAACCGATGCCGGAAACCAAAAACCTAATGTTGACATGGATAAACTTACAAAAATGATGCAAAGCATATGATGTACTATTTATTTTTTATAATTGTTGTAAAATTTTAATTTGCAAATTCAAAAATAACAAAATCAAAAAAGAACCAACTTAATTTGAAGTATTATATATTATTCAATAAAAATATCAAATGACCGTCTTCGGAGCTTGATCCTTACATATAGGTCTTATTAAATAATTTTTTGTAGCCACTTACTTTCAAATTTTAATTTTAACATTATAAAATTCAAATTTCAAATTTTAAACTTAAAAGTTTAATTCTAAGCCTTAAAAGTTTACAAACACCTACGTATCAATAACATTGAATAAGAAAAATAAAATTTACTTTAAAAAAAAATAAAAATCCACGGCCCGCTAACAACCCGCTAAGCCCAAACCCGACGGACCAAAAAAAAACTCTGAAAAATTACAGCCCGCTAACGCAGCCCGCAACGTTTATCCCAACCGGCCAGCTAAACACCCCTAAGGTACAGTACAAAAGTAACAACTTGAAAATGATAAGGTGGGATAAGATGTAGGATTAAATCCATATCATGTTTGGTTAGCGATATAAATTTATACCGTGACTTGATCCAGGATATCCTATTTGGATTATTTTACAATCCCAGAATTATTTAGTCCGCGTACCAAACGACCCCTAATAGTGGTATTATATCCCTACCTCATGTTTTGACAGGGAAAATGATAAAATCTAGTGCTGTTTCACCAAGATAACATTGTCCAGAGATTTTCAATTTCAAATAACACGAATTGCAAGTATATCTCAATAACACAAAATCAAAAACGGTCAAGAAACAGAAGTAAAAACTTATAATTCTCTAAAGATCCATAAAGATAAACTTGCCCAGCTTGGAATTTTAAGTTTGACAAGAAAATGAACAACCAAGTGTTTCCAACATCTGATAATCAAAATTGCAACCACCACCTAGCCTAAGATAGCAAGGATTTAAGAGAAGCTTGAACTAGGGGGTGCACCACCAAAACCTCCAGATCCACGACCAAATCCAGGTCTTCCACCAGAACCCTGCAAGTATAGCTTGATAGTTTAGACTTGGAAAAAACAACTCTAATGGAAATTCATCTAAATATATTATCTCAACTATAGACATAATAAATTAATGATCAGTATGTCAAATGAATCAATATTTATTCATTCATCAACTACGTAAAGTAACAAAAGTTGGAACTGAACACCAGTATGATCAAAAAACAAAACTACTCAGCCAAAAAATTGCAGAAAACTCTAGTTAAAACCTAAGATACTTCTCTGAGCAGGTAACATGCCAATAAATGAAATTCTGCGAAATTCACAGAGATGCAAATACCCAACAAAGCAAAATAAAATAGACCAAACAAACACTGGAGAAACTTTCTCCTCTCCTTTTTTTAAATGATAAGCATAGCTATGAAAGACACCTAAAAGTGTAGCATTTGAGAGGGATAACATAGGGACGGGGAAAATGAGGTTGAACAAAAGCAGGGCCACTAAACTCGAGCATTCACAGATAATATTGTTACTCTAAAGCTTCAAGTCTGTTTCATTTGGCAACTAAAATAATACATTTAAGGGAAACAAGGTCAACCACAAGAAACAACAGTTCATAAATAACATGGCAACAAGGCAACTAGGGGTGTTCATAAAAAATCGAAAAACCGAAAACCGAACCAAACCGACTAAAAAAACCGATACTTTTTAGGTTTAGTTTGGTTTTGGTTTTAAATTTTAAAAACGGTCAAATTTAGTTTGGTTTTAATAAAAAAATAACCTAAAAAACCGAACCAAACCGACTATAAAAGTAGCTATATAAATTTATTATTACACCTATATATATATATATATATGTATATTTTTATATAAAGTTTCTGAAATTTTATGGTACATATTAGTCATTTGTATTTTTGGTCTAGTTCTTTGCTATTATAATAATCTCATTCTTTATCTTCTAGTTTGATTGATAGTTTTCTTTTGCTAAGTACAAGAATTTATTTAATGTTAAAAATAATTAATTTTTAATTGAGTACTTAAATTACTCATCACTATTTGAGTCAATTATATTCAATATATCTTGGTAAATGATAGATTTATCAAAGGGCAATTAGTTTGATAGTGTTACGTTGAAAATGTAGTCGCCGGAATATGCGTTTGGTAGTGTATGTCTCATATTAAAAAAATGATAAATAACCGAAAAAATCGAAAAACCGATAAAAACCGAATCAATAAAACACCGACTTAATTGGTTTGGTTCCAATATTTGAAAAACCAACTTACTTGGTTTGGTTTCTTTTTAGGGAAAAACCGACGTAAATCGAACCATGAACACCCCTAAAGGCAACATTGGCAAAATCAACCCATTACCTTTACACAGACATAACAAATGAATCCTGATACAATCAACATGAACTAAATTTTTTTCCTCAAAACAAGAAGGAAATAAATTAAATGCCACAACTGATAAGCTAAACAAACTGAATTTTTTTAGGGATTTAAAATTTTTAAAAAGATAAGAACAATTACCCTGAAAGCAGGCTGATAGTCAGCTGGAGCTCCACCTTTTTCACCTCCAAACTCACCAGGTGGACCTCTTGGTCCAGCACGATACCCTTCCCTGTCGCCGAACCTTGGCCTATCACCCTCGAACCTTGGTGGTCCACTGCATATATCCAATGAATAACACACATACAGTTAATCCCCCGACAAATACACACACAAAATCTCAGTTTCAAACAAGGCAGACAAAATGAATAGGTAAATTACCGGGGACGATCGCCAGGAGGTCCACCCATGGGACGACCAAGAGGCTTAGCAGATTTTTTCAAAGTAGCAGGCACAATTTCAGAAGGAAGGTTAAGGTAAGTCCTGAGGAACTCAATACCATCATTTGTAAGGTACCAGTAGTAGTGCATCCAAGCGAATGTCTCGCGAACGTACTCCTTAGATTTGAAGCTCTGCATCAGCTTAATCACCTGTAGGTTCGGCACATCGATTAATGGATGCTTCGCCAAGTTATAGTCCTTCTTCGCATAGCAAACTCCCTCTACAATATCATCAAAAAAATTACATCAGAAAATGAAGCTTCTAGAAGGATGTACAGAGATTCAGAGATACTAACCTTGGAAGAGGTATTTGGAGATCTCTCTACGGTTCTTCTCTGAAATAATCTGAAAAAAAAAACAAATTGAAAAATGCATTAGAAACTTCGAGAGGAATGAGAAGTGATAATGAACTTTGATATCGTAAGAGAAAATACCATGGCTGCTGGAAGAAGAGGGGAAAACGGAGAAAAATCACACTGAAGCCTCAGACGATTGCAGCAGCAAAAGGATTGTACCATGAACCCTAGGTAAGCGAGGTTTTATATCTTAGGTTTGGATCTTAGTGGGCTTTTCTTGGGCTGGGTAGTGCCCTAGACTCAACGGGCTGTATCACTGCTGGTATATTTTGGCCCATGTGCTTTTGATTAGTAGTCATACTATTACTTGGTGAATATAAATATTTTTTTTGGGCAAGGTCTCTAATTTGTTTTAGGGGTAGTTTAGTTCAAGGACTAGTTATACATGATAATTAATACATGGATTATTCATATGATACATAATAGTATATAGGTTGTCATGCTGTCAATAGTAATGCAAGAAAAAAAAATAACGTAAGAATTGTTATAAAATTAGTAAATTGCTTATTTTAACAATATTATATGTATGATCCATCTATTTCAAACGCACATATACTTTCATATTTATTTTGCGGAAAATATACCTTCCTATATATTTTGTTGATATTAACAATTTAGAGTTCAATAGTGTTAATGAACACTATTTAGTATGCACGATATTTTTGATGACTTGTGGTCAAAATATGCCATATTACTTACTATAGAGTAAGACATAGGTCCATTAAATATTTAAGTATTCTATCGATTACAAGATATCATAACAACAAAAAGAATATGAACTATGTATTTAAAATCCTATAAAAATAGAAATATTAACCATATATCCAACACAATAACTAAACAATACAATGGCATGAAATATATAAAATACAAATCAGCTATAGTGTCTTGGCCATCCAAACAAGAAAAGAAAAAAAATCATAACTACTTTAAAATGTTATCAAAATGCATCATGTACCCTCCAACCATTAATAAAGGAGAAACCTTTAGCAGTATAATTTAAAAGATTACCCTTTCCTCATTTCTGAATTTGTTAGGTTAGATACACTAAACTTTAAAAAAAAATAAAAGAATAAATTTTGGATCGAAAGAAACAATTTGTAGGGTGGTGTTGACAAGAGGCTGGAGGTCTGGAGGAAGACCCTTGAGTCTAAGGTTTTCAAGTTGAACAGGACCAAAATAGAATACTTGGAGTGTAAGTTCAACAATGCTACGCAGGAAGCTGATATGGAGGTGAGGCTTGATACACAAGTCATCCCCAAAAGAGATAGTTTCAAGTACCTTGGATCTATAATACAAGGTAACGGGGAGGTTGATGAGGATGTCATGTACCGTATCGGAGCAGGATGGATGAAGTGGTGGCTCACTTTCGGTGTTTTGTATGATAAGGATGTGCCGCTGAGACCTAAAGGCAAGTTCTACAAGGTTGTAGTTAGACCGACTATGTTGTATGGAGCAAAGTATTATCCCGTTAAAAGTAGATGAGATAAGGATGTTAAGGTGGATGTGTGGGCATACCAGGTTGGATAAAATTAGGAATGAAGTTTATTCAGGACAAGGTGGGAGTAGCCCCTATGGAGAATAAGAAGCGGAAAGCGAGGTTAAGATGGTTCGGACATATTATGAAGAGAAGCATAGAAGCCCCAGTCAGAAGGTGCGAGAGGTTAGCCTCAGTGGGTATTGGGAGAGGCAGAGATAGGCCTAAGAAGTTTTGGGGGGAGGTTATTAGGTGGGACATGGCGCAACTGGAGTTGACTGAGGACATGGCCCTAGATAGAAGGGTGTTGAAGTCGAAGATTAAGGTAGAAAGCTAGTAGGTATTTTCCACGCCCCGACCTGGGAGCGAGACTGGCACTCGGTGTCTCAACTAACCTGGTGTACCAAATTGCGACTAGGGGACTCTGAACATATAATGTCATAATTTGGCCATGGGGCCACCTTGCAAGACAATTTGCGAAGCAAAATATAAAACTGAATGGAAACTAGCGCTGACTAAATATTAATATAAAGTTGGGCCGACAAGGCCGTCATAACTACTACAACTGACAAACTACCAAAATATACATATCAGGCCTACAAGCCCAACATAGTGCACTAACTGATAGGATATGTCTACAAGCCTCTACTGATGGATATATTGTGATCGGAACAGGGCCCCGACCTACCCATAACATATATATATACATACAGAAGATATACACAAAAACCTAGACCTGATAACTCCGAAGGACGTGGAGCTTACCGATCAGGCTGAACTCTGGAAAATACCTACTGAGGAGGTCTACCCGTCTATCTATCTGAACCTGCACGCATGAAATGCAATGTCCCTAGAAAAGGGACGTCAGTACAAAATAATGTACCGAGTATATAAGGCAATAACTTAACTGAAAGTTGAAACTGAACTGATAATATAATAACTGAAAGTAATTGAGAGTCAAAGATGATCTGGAGATATACTTATCTGTTAATACTGACTCAACTCCTTCAATATAGTAAGTAAAATAATTGTCCGACCTTATAAGGCTCGGTATATATAACTGCTCTGCCGTAGTAGGCTCGCTCATAGGCGCTCGACCATACTAGGCTATGTATCTCGACCATGCTGGGCTCGCTCATAGGCGCTCGGCCACAGTAGGCTCGGTATATAACTTTCCATCTGATCAGAGGTTGCCCAATAGGGGCCTGCCCATCGATTATAGCTCGATGGTAATGAAAATACTGTAATACTGTATATATAGGCTTGCTGCTCTCTTGA